TAAATCTGTCTTTAGTAACTGGAGCTTTTTTGGTCTCTGGGCTTCCATCTTTGGTAAATGGAGATTTCTCCTTCCTTGGGCTTCCGAGAGTGACACAGAAAGCGACACGGAGAGCGACACAGAAGAGGCCAGAGTGACCAGAGCTGAGTGGGAGGGTCTTCAAGAGCAGCATAAAATGGCTCAAGAAGAACTGAAGATGAACAGATCTTTGCTCTGCAGCAGGAAGTAACTGAGGTCATCGATCAGTTAGAGGCCGTTGAGACCAGTTTGAGGCGATCACCAGCGTTGGGCACGTTACTTTGAAAAAGTAATTAGTTATAGTTACTAGTTACTTCTCCCAAAAAGTAACTGAGTTACTAACGGAGTTACTCCACTATAAAAGTAACTAGTTACCAGTAAAAGTAACTATTGCGTTACTTTTTCGTTTTGTTCTGGAACATAATGTGCACTCGAGGTGCGCATTTTTACCTTTAACAGTGCCAATATTTCCATCTAGAAAAGTCTGTTTTGCTGCTGAAGTCCTGTGAGAGAGGGCAAGCACGATTTGCGACTCACGGCAACTTCCGGTGACTCGCGTGACTCAGGCGCTGTGAGCCGCGACTCAGCAGCCAGAAGTCGTGACTCACGGTTAAAAATAACACAATTCTTTGCTTCTCAGGGGTATCTGGGAATGATCAATGAGACAATATGGATCTGGAGGCATTGTTTACAAGTAATCAGTATGTTAGACACTCTACATCAGCTAGTATGTGTTTGTATAGCAGTCCATGTCCGTTAACCACTGACTCAGGCGCTGTGAGCCGCGACTCAGCAGCCAGAAGTCGTGGCTCACGGTTATCAATTTAACTTTTTAGGGGTATCTGTGGATTATCAATGACACATTGTGGATCTGGAGGCATATATTTACAAGTAACCAGTATGTTACACACTCTTGATCATCTGGTATGTGTGTATATAGCTCTCCATGTTCGTTAACCACTGACTCAGGAGCTGTGAGTCGCGGCTCAGGAGCTGTGAGTCGCGGCTCAGGAGCTGTGAGTCGCGGCTCAGGAGCTGTGAGTCGCGGCTCAGGAGCTGTGAGTCGCGGCTCAGGAGCTGTGAGTCGCGGCTCAGGAGCTGTGAGTCGTGGCTCAGGAGCTGTGAGTTGTGGCTCACAGTTAAAATACAGCATATTTTTGCTTTTTAGGGGTATCTGGGAATTTCTAATGAGACTATATGGACCTGGAGGCATAGTTTACACGCCTAGTTCACGACACGCCTCTGTCCTGCAGGTCGCAGAATGACCCTACTACTTCGAACCCGCAGCAACACCTTTTTGATTGACAGTGAACAGGTGTGGGCTTATTCTACACATTAGCACGTAGCTCAACATGTCCTTCCAGTGATGTGCGGCACCACTCTGCTGCTATTCATGACTGAGCTGTATATGTTCCTGTATTGGGAGACAAAGTAACAGCTCATGTGGAAACAAATGTTCATGTTATAGTGCAATGTGTGCAAATGTATTAGCTACAGCCAAGTGCAAAACTGAAATGTATCAAACCTAAACCAAATCTTTATTCTTTATAATTGGTCTATTAAAGTGAATTACGTTGTGCATTTTTTTATAAAGTTTGTTTTCCTTCTCTTCTGTGTGTGGCTCATCTTGATGTGTCGTCTCAGTAGTTCTGTAATTCAAGAATAACCGGTTAACTACACTTAATTTTTGCACAGAAAAGAAATGAGAGAAAAGAGGCATTAAGGAGAAAAACATGTCTTGATGGCTGCAGCATGACACCTGTATTTCCACTGCATTTGTATCCTGTATAATGCTCCAGGATCAGATGTTTAAAGGGTATAAGGGAGCTACACTTTTGGAAACCCTAAAACATTTGATTCAGGATGATCACGGAGGCAGTTATGAGGGAAAGTGCCGTGCAGCAGTCATACAGCCGCTGGGCCACCAAAGGCTCAAATAAGCATCTTCAAACATTTCACCACAACAGAAGTTACTTGAATTCTGTATTTTGAACATCTGGGTTCGGTAACATGATCATATAAAAATTATGTCATTAGGGTCTTTCTCTTTAATTCTCTATTTACAATAGTAAGTCCACCTCAGCACACTATCCTCCAAAGTTAACAATAATCATTTTTTTTAGAATGAAAATGCCCTGAAATGAAATGCCCTGATGTTTGTGTTTGTTCAAAGACAAAGAAATCTCTACTCTGGGTTCTTGGCTCACTTTGTCATCCACATTATTTTACTATAAGGACAAATTGGTACAAGTGGCTTTTATAATTGTGTTTGTTTGTGTATTGTTTGTATTTTTTCAAATGCCTTTAGCATTATTAATAAATAACAAATAATAATGTCTCAGTGGTTTTTTAGTTATTTATTTCTTATGTGACCAAACCTGTGTTATACACCTTGCCTCATCTTTTGTCCTATGGAGTATACACTCTGCTCTGTATCTGCAAGTTTTGTGTATTCTTTGAAGCCACAGAATTACAACCAAGGAATTTTACACAAGTTTCATGCCCTTTAAAATGATTAAAAGACAGACTCCAAAAAACGAAACAAAATAACTTACCTCAATATTTTGGTGAAATTTAAATTGCAAGCGAGATGTCCAACGTCGTGCAGGATTCAACATGAGATTAGACAGCGCCCCCTGGTGTCAGCAGACGAGTCCTGACTTATGTCTCGTAGGTCACTTGTTAACAATAGAGTAATACAAACATATATCAGCTGGTAAAGTATGTATGAGGCACTGAGGACATGGAAAATGTTCATCCAGATACATTAATAATTCATAAATACTCCTAAAAAGTATTTTTCATTAGAATATGAAATAAGCCCTGCAAATACATGTAATAATCTGTATTTAGGCCTGTATCACTTAATCAACCACTTGCACTATGACTGTAAACCTGACATTTCTTTTATAGTCTGTTTATTTTACTAAGGATGCACCAATACCAATATTAGTATTGTGCCGTTATCACATACTTGTACTCATACTCATTCATGAGGTCCCATGACTGTATATAAGATACCACGATGGGGCGTCTTGCTTCAGTGGGAGCAGGTGGTTGTTGGGGGGCACGACCCCACGATCATTAGGTCCAAAGACCAAAGCTCTGCCAATTGAGTCACTGTTGCCCCTAATAATTCCCAGATACCCCTAAAAAGCACAGATTTGTGGTATTTTTAACCGTGAGCCATGACTTCTGACTGCTGAGCCGCGACTCACAGCTCCTGAGCCGCGACTCAGGAGCTGTGAGTCAGTGGTGAACAGTTCATAGAGATCTATACAAACAAATACCAGCTGATGAAGAGTGTGTAACATACTGATTACATGTAAACTATGCCTCCAGATCCATATTGTCTCAATAGAAATTCCCAGAAACCCCTAAAAAGCAAAGATTTGTGGTATTTTTAACTGTGAGCCTCGACTTCTGACTGCTGAGTCGCGACTCACAGCTCCTGAGTCAGTGGTTAACGAACATGGAGAGCTATATAAACACATACCAGATGATCAAGAGTGTGTAACATACTGGTTACTTGTAAATATATGCCTCCAGATCCACAATGTGTCATTGATAATCCACAGATACCCCTAAAAAGTTAAATTGATAACCGTGAGCCACGACTTCTGGCTGCTGAGTCGCGGCTCACAGCGCCTGAGTCAGTGGTTAACGGACATGGACTGCTATACAAACACATACTAGCTGATGTAGAGTGTCTAACATACTGATTACTTGTAAACAATGCCTCCAGATCCATATTGTCTCATTGATCATTCCCAGATACCCCTGAGAAGCAAAGAATTGTGTTATTTTTAACCGTGAGTCACGACTTCTGGCTGCTGAGTCGCGGCTCACAGCGCCTGAGTCACGCGAGTCACCGGAAGTTGCCGTGAGTCGCAAATCGTGCTTGCCCTTTCTGAGTCCTGTTCACTCTTCATCTCTCTCTGTGCTGTAAGCACTAAACACCACACCCGCCACTGTGAATGTGGAAACACCGGTGAAGCACTGACTTCAGTCCAATCAGATGAACATATACATCATATAAATCAAGTGGACAGTTTGTTTGGCTACAGCAAAATATGTTTTATGCCTGCATTGTTTGTTCATATAAAACGCAAAACTATGAGTTATGGGTCTTACCTTATAAATGACCTGCACAATCCACTTCGGTTCAGACCAGTTCCTTGTTTAAATCCAGTTAATGGTTTGAGCGTAGATATGTAATCCTCCATTTGGAAATGAGTCCAATGAGTTTTAAAAAGTAAAACAAAACGCGTGTGTCCTCCATAAACTCCTGTGTTTTGCTAGCGGCAGCCGAGTGCATCCAATTTCTAAAATCAACCGTCTTACACTTCACCTCTCTTTCTTATCATTCCTATAGTAATTGAAAAATTACCCTATGTGCATTTTATATTATGTAAAAATGTGTTATATGTATGTTAGCCAAACCTGTTGCTGTTCTTAGCAGATAAACCAGGAGGAGAAAGGAGCTTATCGATGGAATTGTATGCAGCCGACTTCTGCGCTCACACGCGCTCCTCTGAGGCTGACCTCACGGTGATACAAGCCGTGGATGAGCGCGATTAAGACCCATATTTGTTTCAAAAACACAATTTATGAGCCATCCTCTCAACTGTAGACATGTAGATTGTAAAGGAAATATGTTTTACATCAGCCAATAATTGCTGAGAGGTTTTCTCATCCTCCCTTCTCTCATGACAACACGTTCATTGTGCGTCTTGAGTAACGTGCAGTAACGGGATGTCGGAAATGATAACGGCGTTATAGTTACTGTCACAGTAATTAGTTAGATTACTCGTTACTGAAAAAAGTAACGGCGTTAGTAACGCCGTTACTAGTAACGCCGTTATTCCCATCACTGGCGATCACTGGGTTTGGCAAATGAGCGATCGGCAAGGTGGGAGCAAGCCCACCAACAGCTGCAGCTCCAGTTATCAGAGAAAGATTCTCAGTCTGTAGCAATACAGATGGAGACCGAGACACAACTGAGGATTAGAGATGAACAGATCTTGGCCCTGCAGAAGGAAGTAACTGAGGTCAAAGATCAGTTGGAAGGAGTCGAGACCAGTAAGAGGCGTTCATTGTGTTTGGCGCGGGAGCGAGTGGAGCAATGGAAGAAGACCCAACAACAGAAGCCGTTACCAAAGAAAGACCGTCAGCTCCAGACTCTGATGGAGGGTAACGAGTCCATGACGTCTGATAATCAGACAGAGACTGGGCCACAGGTACCACTGGATCAGACGGTACATTTAGAGACAGACGGCGGGATAGAGACTGCGATAGAGGGCGAGATAGAGACAGAGGTCCAAGCCTGAGTGGTCAGCACTCAGGCTTCTCATCAGGAAGATCCTGGGTTCGAATCCTGGTCAAAGCATCATCAGATGCAAAGCAGCAGAATGTACTGGAGAGTTTGTTCGGCTGTTTGTGCTTCTGGAGCTGTGAGGTGGCAACACAAACACCTGCAGATGTTGTAGATTCTACACAAAAAGGCCTCAACACGAGTCTGTGTCTCAGTCCAGACCGTGTTGTAGATCAGGGAGGTCTGGCTGGTTCAGAAGGAGGTGTGGCTGAGGTCTCAGTCCAACAAGGCAGGACCAGACTCCTCATGGCTCCGGGTCCAGGCTCAACCTGAGGACCTGAGGAGATGAGTGTAGTCTGGAGTGTTCCTGTTTGGTTGGAAGGAAAACCTCAGAGGGACCTCTGGAGAACCAGTCCGTCCTCCTGGTGTAGATCATTCAGGGTAAAGCCACAGCCTGAGTTTGCTCGTTTGACTTTGGATCTGTTCTGGCGTGTGAGGTGTAAGAAGGTTCAGATCCGTGTCCTGGATCTAAACTAGATCTAAGTCTGGATCAGTCAGTACATTTAGAGAAAGGGCGAGATAGAGAGGGCGAGATAGAGGGCGTGATAGAGAGGGCGAGAGAGAGAGGGCTAGAGAGAGAGGGCGTGATAGAGAGGGCGAGATAGAGAGGGCGAGATAGAGAGGGCGAGATGGAGGGCGGCTATAAATCACTTTGGGCGGCATGGTGGCCCGAGTGGTTAGCACTCGAGCTTCTCAGCAAGGAGGTCCTGTGCTCGAATCCCGGTCGGAACAGGGCCCTTCTGAGTAGAGTTTGCATGTTCTCTCCGTGCCTGCGTAGGTTTCCTCCGGGTGCTCCAGTTTAAAACAGCGGCTTACACTCAGTAAGAGGTTATGAGGCTGTTTTTAGGTTTAGACAAATGTTGACTGTTCTCATGCACTTGTGTTGGACCGACATCTCTGGACTTCTGCAGATTCCAAATAAAGACAATAAATTCAAATATTGACTTTTTACTTTTTCTACTTTGCAGCTGTTTGATCATTAGATTTTAGATATTTCCTTCTCTGTTCTCCCCCTCACTGCTCTCTCTTATCTCTGTCTGGTCTCTCTCTCCTTCAAGTCAAAATAAAACAAAATCCACAACACCGCAGCTTTAAATCAGAAAAACCCTCATTACAAATATACAAATACTGTTCAAAGAGAGTCAATGCTCGATTCTACTTCCACAGGGGCTGAGATCTTTCAGTGGGGGCTTTGGGCAAAGTGGGGTTAAGTGTCTTGCCCAAGGACACAACGACAGCAGTCATCAGTGGGAGTCGTGAGCTACTGAAAAGTATAATAATTTCATCCAACAACTTTCAAAGATCATTTTAAAAGTCATTTCAAAAATGGCCGTGGCTTTTTCTCTTAAAACAGGCAAATAATGAACCACAGAAATTCAATGTACAGTTTCAGGTGAGGGAAAGACTAACGTTAATTAAAGCCACAAGCGGCGTCAAACGGCCCTCACCACACTGCGCAAAGGGGGGGCACCGCCGCGCCATTTTTTGCTCCCGTAGCTATAAAACAAGGTTTGCAAAATTGTATGGGTTTCCTGTTTATCAGGGGGGGTGGCCATAAAAACTTATTTTTTCATGTCTTGACTTGAGGAACATGTGAACCGAATTTCATGGCTCTACGACAAACTTGACCTCTGACCCCCTTCCATAGGCGCAATGTAAACATGTATGGACATTTTTTTTAACATGTGTTCTATATTCTTTATGTGTTTTAACTGTTGATTCTCTGATCTGTGTTGGTGATTTCAATGGTTTTGTTAAGTCTCTGAGATGACGTCTGTTGTGATTTAGGGCTATACGAGAATCAATTGTATTGTATGTATATATAAGTCTATGGTTTGAATAAGTATCATAGGCCTGCATTTGTTCATGAGAGCGAAGAGTGTTGTTTTCTTGACTTGGTAGAGTGATGGAGCGAGTCTTCAACCTGAGCCTCAAGCTGAGGGCGGTACCACAGCTCTGGAAGACCTCCTGTGTGGTACCGGTGCCCAAGAAACCACGGGCCAAAGACCTCAGCGACTTCAGGCCAGTGGCTCTAACATCCCACTGCAAGAAGACACCGGAGAGACTGGTCCTGGGACATCTCCGCTCCACTCTGAGCCCAGCGATGGACCCGCTGCAGTTCGCCTACAGGCCGGGCATCGGAGTCGAGGACGCCATCATCTCCCCCCTCCATCGCTCCCTGTCCCACCTGGAGAAACCCGGCACCACTGTGAGGATCCTCTTCTTTGATTTCTCCAGTGCCTTCAACACCATCCAGCCGCGGCTTCTCAGGGACAAGCTGGAGACAGCCGGTGTGGACTACGACCTGTCCCAGTGGATCCTGGACTACCTCACAGACAGACCCCAGTTTGTGAGAACCAGGGACTTTGTGTCTGAGGTCCTGACCTGCAGTGTGGGGGCCCCACAGGGAACTGTCCTTGCGCCGTTCCTCTTCACCCTCTACACTGCGGACTTCAGACACAACACGGACGGTTGTGTTCTACAGAAGTTCTCTGACGACTCTGCCATCATCGGACTCAGCTCCGAGGACGATGACACAGAGTACAGAGGAGTTATACAGGACTTTGTGGACTGGTGTCAGCGGAACCACCTCCTCATCAACGCGGGGAAGACCAAGGAGATGGTGGTGGATTTCCGCAGACGTCACTCTGCTGCTCCAGCTCCAGTGTACATCCAGGGAAAGGACATCGAGAGAGTGGACTCTTACAAGTACCTGGGTGTTCATCTGAACCACAAACTGGACTGGACTCATAACACAGCCGCCCTCTTCAAGAAGGGCCAGAGCCGCCTCTACCTGCTGAGGAGGCTTAGGTCTTTTGGAGTGCAGGGGCCACTCCTGAAGACCTTCTATGACTCTGTGGTGGCATCAGCCTCTTGTACGGTGTGGTCTGCTGGAACAGCAGTATCACAGAGAGGGACAGGAAGAAGCTGGACAAGGTCATCAGGAAGTCCAGCTCAGTCCTGGGATGTTCCCTTGACACAGTGCAGCAGGTGGGGGACAGGAGGGTCCTGGACAAACTAACATCTATACTGGACCATGACTGTCGCCCCCTGCAGGACACTCTCTCTGCTCTGGAGAGCAGCTTCAGTGACAGACTAATTCACCCTCGCTGTGTGAAGGAGAGGTTCCTTAGGTCTTTCCTTCCTGCTGCTGTCAGACTGTACAATAAGAACTGCTGAGCCTGTAACTTTAATTCATCTGTAATTAAGTACATTCTTAAATCATGTGCAATGTGCAATACTGCAACTTCAGAATGTCACAGAACAATGTCACTTTACCTCATGTCACTTTACTTATATACTTATTATCCTGCACTATTTAACTGCACTACTAAATATATATATTTTTAACTGGTATTGAAGCATTTTCAGCATCTACAGCTAGTTATGTTAGCTAAGAAACATAGCTACTACTTATTTGTATATATTGTGTGTGCTCCCTGTGTGCTCTTACTACTGTCCTGTCTGTGCGCTGCAACATCGAAATTTCCCCACTGTGGGACGAATAAAGGAATTCTTATCTTCTTATCTTATCTTTTCTTATTAAAACAGCCCAGAGATCATTTAATGTAGACTTTATTCATAACAAGACATCTCTAAACTCTCAAGTATTGTTTCCTTCCTTCTGGAGTAAAAACTTGTAACAGAAGCTGCAGAGACACTGACCTTAGTGACTGCAACATCGGCAACAAAACACTACACTTTTCTCGGACCAAGGACAGAATAAGAATCAAAGAATCCAGGCTACATTTCAAAAATAAGAGTTTTTGATCCAATGCAACGATTCGCACAGAACCAGACAGAACGCACTGCAAAAAGTGATGAGAAATAAGTCAAAAATTGCTCAAATTTGGCAAAAATATATCTAAATTTGTACATTTTGACTGCCTCAAAACTAGATTTGCCACTGGGACAAGCAGAATACACCTAAATGGCTTTGTCCCATTGGCAAATCTTGTTTTAAGACCCGAGAATAAACTCAAATGAAGATAAAAACCACTATTTTGAAGCAATTTATTTCCTCATATTTCATCATTTTTGTGCAGTGTATATACTATATCCTCCATCCATTTTTCCATCCATTTTCTACCCTTTAATCCATTTCTGGGTCAGGGGGGTGGCAGTCAGAGATGCCACCCAAGTCTCATAGCACCAGCCCCTCACTGACCCTCTGCAGGTGGTGAGTCCACAGGAGGACGGCTGCTCTCTGAGTGTGAGCATAGCCTTGATCTTTCAGTGGGGGCTTTGGGCAAAGTGGGGTTAAGTGTCTTGCCCAAGGACACAACGACAGCAGTCATCAGTGGGAGTCGGTGGAGAAGGTGTAGAGGTGGATATTGAACCCACGACCTTCTGGCCTTAAGGCCAATGCTCTACCAACTGAGCTACTGTCGCCCCTATACTATATCCTCTTAAATACATTTATATATGATACAATAAGGTATATTTTAACCATGGCTCATCGTGCAAGACTTTTTGAAACTATAAAACATGTAACAATATAACAACACATGCCTTTTTTCATCTTCAAATAAGTAGCATTTCCAATATTTTATACAATATTTACAGTACAGGTTATTTTGGTCATCAAGTTATTGCACCAGCACGTAACATAGGTGCAATACTGTGCATAGTACCACCGAGCGCAGATTCAAAGACGCAATTAAGTGCAAGGAAATGTTTTTTTTACCGTGTTTAAGATCAAAGCTGGTCGTTCTGTGTAATGTGTCGATCCCTTACTAAGAACAAAGTGAAATGCTACCTTTTTATCCCTTTGAACATTTGAAAAAACAGTGTATCATCATCTCACCACGACCTTAAAACAAAAGCCACCACCAAAATCCTGTTTGGAGAAAAGCGGAAAAACTAAAGTATAAACAAGAGACATGTGATAAGCACCGTGTTCATCAGGTTTACAGTACGTCCATCATCACCGCCAAAAGTGATGGAAAATAAGTCAAAAAATTCTCAAATATGGCAACAATATGTCTTGATTTCAGCCCATTTAAACGATTTGTGAATGCACTGCAAAAAATGATAAAATATGAGGTAATATAGGATCAAATTAAGTGTTTTTTATCTTAATCTGACACATTCTGACTGTGTTAAAACAAGATTCTCCAACGGGACAAAGCCATTTAGTGTCATTTCAAGAACTGTTTCTTTATTTTCTCATTCCAAGCGAGACTTTTCTTGTATCTTTTTAAAACAAGATCATTTTGCTTTGTCCCATTGGGGAATCTTGTTTTAAGGCAGTCACAATGTGCTCAGATTAAGAGACATTTTTCCAAACTTAAGCAATTTTCTTATTTTCCAACACAACTAAATGTCTTGGAATGAGAAAAAAACCAAACAATTCTAAACGGCTTTGTCCTGAAGGCAAATCTTGTTTTAACGCATTCAGAATGTGCTCAGATTAAGATGATAAACACTTGATTCAAGTAATTATAACCTCAAATTTGATCATTTTTTGCCGTCACACCCAGAGAGCTACTTTCCCGGGACTCTAAAGGCAGAGAGCAGCTCCTTTAAGTGATTTATAGGTCTGAACAAGGCTGATGTCAGGTACAGTCATAATTGATCATTGCATATTTGTTACTAATGCACAAAGCAAGTGCATAATAAATATGGATAATGAATAAAACGATCTGAAATATTAAGTATTTTATTTGATTTGCTCATTTATATGTCCTTTGGGTAGCTACTGGTGGCTCCGAAGCTACAGGTCGGAGACCCCTGGGTTAGCCCAACTCTACAGTAGGTCTCTCGCCTCTACTGTGTCTCGCCTCGACTGTCTCTCCTCTTTTGTCTCTCAACTCTAGTCCCCCGGCTCTAGTCCCCCGGCTCTAGTCCCCCGGCTCTAGTCTCCCAGCTGTAGTCTCTCGCCTCTGTATGTCTCCAGGCTCTACTCCCACAGGGGACTGGTTTGGACACCCCTATCATACCCAACAGGAGCAGAGTAGACTCCACCCATATCCTTGAATCTCCAGGTTAAGACTGAACTCTCTTGAGGAAATGGTTGGAGTCTACTCTGCTCCTGTTGGGTCTGATAGAAAACCTGCCAGAGCGGCCATTTCTGGACCGGTTTGGACTATCTGCAGGCTCTACATGTCTCCAGGCTCTACTGTCTCTGGTCTCTACTGTATCCAGATGGTGTTGTTGCGGTCCGTCCTCCGGGGCTCCGTGGCTGGGCTGTTGTTTGCCGTGAGGTCGCTGAAGGTGGAGAAGAACTGCTCCATCTCCTTCTGCAGCATGTGGTTGCGGCGCTCGGCATCGTCCTTCGCTCTCTCCGCGTTCCGTAGTTTGATTTCCACCATGGTGTACTTCTTCTTCTCCTGGTCCAGCTCCTCGTGAAGACTCACCATCTCCGTTTCCAGCTCAGAGTTCCGCTGCTCCAGGCTGAAACAAGAAAAGGTAAACTTTGTTGATCTCACAATGGAGAAATAAAATCCATCTTGTTAATCTTCTGTCTAACTAGTTTTGACTTCGTTAACAGGTGGGAGGGGTTAACTCAACTCCTTTTGCAGATTGAAACGATTGGATCTGAGTTTATTGTGACGTGTGTAATGCGCCCGAGCAAGTGAGGCATTTAGCATTTAACCAAGCTTTAGCATTTAGCCTAGCTTTAGCCATTTCCTTTACCACTAGAGCCCGTGGGGAGTAGAGCCACAACATCTCTGCAGCAATGACATTTGCTAAACATTCCTCTTGCTCCGGCTTCAATTTCTTGATATTTGGAGCTGAATCAGAACAGATGACTTTACTATCGCATTCTCCGCCAAACTACAACCAGCAAATTCGCCGCACTCTTGATGTCTACAACACCCGCCTCCACTGCTCGCTGATTGGTCGGATGGGATTCAACCGAGGTAAATGCATTCACTGGGAGCAGACCCAGACGTACATGTAGGAAATAATAATTTACCAGAGTTTACGGGTGGATAAGGCCAGGCTAGTTTTGAGTAAGCTTGGCTGTAACCCGGTTGGATTCTAAGCATTACTTCTCCAAAACAACTACACGTACCTTAAAATGAGACAAAAAAGCCTTGACAAAAACGCTAAATGGATTCTTGTTTCTCCAATCTTTTTCTTGTTTCAATTACCATAATCCTCTGGCCGATCATTTATCTTGAATCAAATACATTTCCTCTAATAGCGTCTTATATTGTCTTGGTTTTTTTTGGAGTACGTTTAGATACAACCACGCAACGAACCCCCACCTCTTAATCCTGGCTTCGTACTCGCTCTTCTGTTTGTGCATTTCCTGTTTGAGGCTGGCCACCAGGCTGTGCAGGGCGCTGTGGCTCCCAGAGAACGAGTCCGGATTCTCGCTGCTACAGGACCCGCCCCCACCACTGCTGCTGCTGCTGACTCCGCCTCTCTCCTCTCCGCCCCCTGCCGCTATCGTCGCCGTCTCCGGAGGCTGCAGGTCTTCGAAGTGACCGGTGTAGAAGTCGTGCTCGGGGCAGGTGGTGGTGGAGGAGCGGCAGGAGGTGGAGTTGTCCGGGAGAGAGATCTCGCAGGAGGAGGTGGACCACGTGGCACTGTCTACGCTTTGCTTGTCCTCGCAGCTGCTGCTCAGACACGTGTTGTTGAGTTGGTTTTGGTGCAGGACGTTCTGGTGGTTAACCTGGACGTTATCGTACGTGGACAAGCGATTCTGGTTGGAAATCTGATCGATCGTGACTTTGCCGCCGTCTCGTAAGGTCACGCTGCCGTTGGGTCCCCATTGGGCGTTTCTCTCCGTGCTCAAAACACCCATTCGTACGACTCCGGCTCCGCTCGTACTGGTCACGCCTCCTCCTCCGGTCCCCATCTTTGTACCTGATCCTTTGAGAGTGTTGGTGCGTCGCCCTGTCACTGCCAGAAGCTTGTCCTGAGAACACTGCCAAAAAGGGAAGAGAAATCAAGTCAAAAAGGGCTCAAATTTGTCAAAATGTGTCTTCATTTGAGAACATTTTAACCCTTTAATGCTCACTCCTTGAAGAAACCAATGTATTTTTTTAAGATGTAGGAGCACTAATAACACAAATAATTTGTTATTATGGCGACAGTGGCTCAGTTGGCCTTTGAGCCTGGAGGTCGTGGGTTCGAGCCCACCGCAAGACCTTCTCCACCGACTCCCACTGATGTCTGCTGTCGTTGTGTCCTTGGGAAAGACACTTAACCCACTTTGTCTGATCTTGATCTTTCAGCCCCCAGAAAAAGATCACTGCTGTGCTCTCACTGACAAAGCAGGCTGCTGTGGACTCACCACCTGCAGGAGGATCAGTGGGGGGCTGGTGCTCTGTGTACTGGGTGCAGCTCTGACTGCCACCCCCCTGACCCAGAAATGGATTATGGGGACGAAGATGGATGAATTTGTTTTATGTTTTTTTTAACCCCTGGTTTTAATCATTGTAGTCTAAAGGACTGGTTGAGATGCAATTTGATGGTAAAAGTGCCTAAAATCCCAATGAGGTGGATTTTAGTTACAAGTAGATATAGAGACTCAAAAAGTGATCCACCAAAGGATTGAGAAACCATAAAAGGGTAAAAAGATTTGCTAATGGGACATGCAAAATTATGTCGATGTGCTATACTCAGATGAATCATCTTGTCAAGTAGGAAAACAACATCAAAATGAATCTTGCAAAAAATATTATTTAGGGTATTTGTTAACCATCGTGGCGTCAATTTGATTCGAGGATGGCACAAGGGTTAAAAAGATACAAGAAATGTCATGAGAAAATAAAGCAACAGTTCTTGAAATAAGACTTTGTCCCGTTGGAGAATCTAAGTCAGAATGTCAAATTAAGATAAAAACCACTTGATTCAAGCATTTATTACCTCATATTTGATCAGTTTTTGCAGCGAGGGGTCCGCAGACGGAGAGGAACTGAACGAGCCGTTGGTCACGATGCCGCCGCCTTTAGAGAAAGCTGGGTTCTTCTTCACGGTCAGAGGCGGGCTGCGGGTGACGTCGAAGCTGCTTATGGCTTCAATCCGAGGACTCTCCGACCTCGGGGAGCTGCTGTCGTCCGTGTGTTTGTGAGAAGGAGACGGAGAGTTGGAGGTTTCCCACACGCACTGGCGAGACACCTGCACCACGTTGTTGTTCTCGGCGTTCTGGGTCACGAGGGTGTCGGAGGTGATGGAGGTCGCCTGCTGCCGGGAGAGGTCCGTGTTGTTGTTGTTAGCGAGCTCGAGGGCCGCGGGACTGTCATCGCCGCGTGGGAACAGGACGTCATGGCGACCGATCAGAACGGCCATGAGCTGCTGGACCAAAACAGCACCTACAGCACAAGAGATTTCAAAACAAATTGACTTGTCTGTTAACACTAGGACTCTGTAATTGAAATGTTGTTTTTAGATGATTTTTTTATTGAATTTTGAGAAAATAATGTTTTAAAATCCATGTCATGACAAGGCCGGTATATTATGTATATTAGTACTCTCGTCTCCTAGAGGTCTGGCGGGAGGTGTCTTATGCAGATGTGGGCCATTGCCTCCTTTGCCTCCTGTCATGAAACTGTACTTCCCATGACTGTTTTGTGGGTGTGTTTTGAGACTGTGGTTCATTGAATAAAGTAGGTTGCTTCGTGGAGGAGAGATTAGAAGACCTTGGTTTGGAGCTGTGGAAACACGGCTGCCTTCTGCTGTCTCCTCCATGGACGTCTAACCATGTAAAATAGAATGACAACTTCGGCCTAATCTTTAGTTCGACTGCAGGTCATCTGGACAAAAGGTCCAGATGACCTGCAGTCGAACTAGTTTTTTATCAGACTCCCAAAGCCGCCATTTTGACTGCTCCTATTTAAACCAATAGAGTTCTGAGGAATTGCCCTAATAAGTTAATTGGATAAATGACAAAATGTCCCATTGACAAATCTCGTTTTGAGGCAGTCAGAATGTCCTTAAATGAAGATACATTTTGTCAAATGTATGCATTTTTGACATATTTTTAGAGGTGTTTTCACCAATTCCATTAAAAGTCATTAATAAGGTTTTTACTCACTTTTAATATGCGCTAATGGCTGAATTTACAGTAATTTTGAATACAGTACAAACCAGTTTGTTGAAAGGCTAATGCTAATGCGAGAGGCCGAATGATAACGGCTGACAGCTAACAGTCAGTGTGTTGCTATGGTAACTAGCACTTGCTTTTCCCTTGTGGAAAATTAAGCTGAACCAGAACCAGTCCAGAACAAAGCTTTACCTGCCTTAGAAAGAAAGCTACGGAACATGTCATCAGTCAATGGAGCAGTCAAGATGATGGCTGTGGGAGTTAAAGGTAGAATACTCACATTTCATTAAAAGAAAGATTTCAGAAAAACAATGACATAGAAATAAACTACACATAGAAACCGAAAAAGTCCCAAGAATCCACATAAGCTAAGACAATACAAGCCATTTAGATTAGACATTCAACAACATTTATGGAAATATATTAACATCTATCAACATATGTACTTTATTACTACTACTACTACTACTATTACTACTACTTTATTACTACTACTTTATTACTACTACTACTACTACTACTATCATATTTAGAAATTTGTATTTATTCAAGTTTGTATGGATGGATGTGTTTCTGCTGCTGGACAGGGATCAATAACTATCTATCTAGTTCCATTGGTTTGAATGGGAGCCGTCAAAATAACTGTTCAGGGAGTTCTAGTAGTTTCAAAATACTGCGAGTGACTGAACGTTGTGGCTCGATCCTCACCTTCCATGATCGTTACTGGATCTTCAACCTTGGGCCGCAGAATGTTGGGTCCGAACACCGTGGCCAGATTCTGCACACTCATCTTATTGACCCCTGAGTACGACTGCACTTCATCTAAAAACCTGGAAATAATGTAATTCAGAGAGATGTAGAGAGCAAAACGGCGTCAAAGTAAGCTACATTAGCATTAGCGTTACCTGCAGATGTACTTGAGGAGGTTGTAGTTCACTGGAGGGAGACTGTCCACCAGTTTTTTCAGCTCCTTCATTCCCTGTTTACACAAAGTTAAGAGAACATTTCTGATTTGGACTTTTTCTTTTCTGGTGTGATAAATAGAAGTGTGGAAAAAAGGTAAAGATATTTAATTATAAAAAAATCTGTTTTACTTTTTTTGTTTTCTCAGAGTTTAATCTATGTTACTCTATTATCTCTGCTTTTTGTGACTCTATTTTATTTGAATAATCTAAATGCTGTGCAAGGAGCTCATGTGAGAGAAATTATGAAACTACTAGAACTCCCAGAGCTGTCATTTTGACTGCTTCCATTCATAGAGTTTTGAGATATTTCCCTAAAAAGTTATCACCAATTTTATTAAAAGCTTAAATGTTATTCATAAGGTTTTCACTCACTTTTGACATGCGCTAAAACTGCAGAATTTACAGTAATTTAAAATATAGCACAAAACAGTTTGTTGAAAGGCTGTTGCTAATGCGAGAAAACAAATGCTAACGGCGGACTAGCTAACAGTCAGTGTGTTGCTATGGTAACTAGCACTTGATTTTCCCTGGTGGAAAATAAAGCTGAACCAGAACCAGTCCATAACTAAGCATTATCTATCTATCTTCTTATCTCTTCAAGTCTTGTCTGTAATAAAGTTCTGTGTCCTGAATGTTTAAAGATACAGTTTTTGCATTACCCTCTTAAGTTTTTTTCACTTCAGTTAATGTGCAGACCATAATAACTGTGACATTTGAGTTGGGGCAGTAATTTTTTCCTCCATGTTTGTAATGCCTAGTTTCAATAATATGAGGGACATGAATTGCAATATACATATCGCAGAATCAAATGGCAAAAAATATCTTAAGATTCGCAATAACATTGAAATGTGGCCCAAATGGTGCAATACTATGGAATCGTCACATTTTGGCCAGTCCCCAGCCCTCGTGACGGTGTGTGGAAACGTCCTGACCCCTACCTCGTCTCTGCTGAGCACTTTGGCGCAGGACAGAAAGTCATTGTAGTTGTGGAACGGAATCACAGGCTCAGGTAACTCTCGCAGATACAGCTTCAGAAGCGAGGCCACTGTGTGCACATCCGTGTTGCTATGGGATACCAGACACAACAGTGAGAAGCTATACACGAAAGAATAAATATAAATATAATCAAATTCAAGTTTTTGTATATATTTTTGGGGATTTTTAGTAGGGACCAGAAGGCTCGGTCATGACCAGAGATGGAGGATTTGATGAGCATACATGTTTTTAGTGGTAGGGGAAACCGGAGCACCCAGAGGAAACCAATCAATCAATCAATCAATTTTTTATTTATAAAGCGCTTTTCATACAAAAAGTGTAACACAAAGGGCTTTACAGTTTAGTTAAAAACAATCCAACATGCCCAGCCCTAAACCCTCCTCCTCACAGACCCCCCAAAACCACATTTATAATTATATATACAACCACATGCGTATACACACACACACACACACACACACACATATACACACAGACACAGACACACAGACACAGACACACACATACAAGTATAAAGTCATATCAGGTGAAATAGGTAAAACAATAAAAAGAAATGGGGCTGGGAGCAGATGTAACCGGCTGAAGAAGCGTCATCCAAGGAGCCATCTGCACCAGGAGCAGAGAGCCGGCTGCAGCCACAGGCAACGACACAGGACCCAGAGGAGAGAGGGGCCCCAGACCCCACCAGGCCCAGGACTCAGACCCCATAGGACCCAGAGGAGAGAGGAGGCCCCAGACCCCCACCGGATCCAAGAGCCAGTCCCCCGAAGCCACAGCAGACCCCAGCTCTCAGTGCAGAGGGCTCCTCCAGAGGAAACACTGGGGACACTAAAACAATACAATAATACAATAGAAAGTAGAACAACCACCGCCGGGCATTATCGTCCGTCCGGGGTGGTCTTCTGTTCCCTTCCCCTTGGCTTGTTGTGGGGTCAACAGTGAAGCTCTCGTCTGGATGTTCCCGTCTGCCTGGATTCCCCACCTGTGTCTGCCTGCTCCCCTTTGATGACCTCTCCTTCCCTTTACCTGTTTCCACCGCCAGACATTGTTCTCCGTCTGGGGTGGTTTTGTTCCCGTCTGTGTCACCGCTGGGCATTTGTCTCCGCCCGGGGTGAGCCAGTTCCGTATGGAAGGTCATCACTGGGCTTCAGCTCCGGTCCCTGATTGGTTTTGGATATTGCTTCGGACCTGAGGTTTTCAGCCTCTGAACTGCCTTTGGTCCCTCCGCCGCGCCCCCCTCCACCCTCCCTGGTTTGTGTTTGGGTTTTTGGGACATCTGGGAGCTGTCCCTTGGAGGGGGGGTACTGTCATGGTGTGGGTTTTATTTTAGTATTTTAGTTTTATTTTGACATTCTTCTCTGTGGTTTGGTTTTAGTTGTACTTCCAGTCCTGTTTTCCCCTGTCTTGATTGTCTGCCCCGCCCTGATGTGTTTCACCTGTGTCTGTGTCTATATGTACCCTGTGCTTCTCTCCCCTGGTTGCTGGTCCATTGTATTGTCTTTGTTCGTGCCTTTGTTCCTGGTCTCGTTTTTGGATTTTAGTTTTTTCATTATTAAATCATTTATATATTTTCATTCCAGCATTTTGAGTCCTCCATCATCACACCACATGACAGTTTTCTCCGGGTTTTGTTTGGAAGGTTCAACTCATAAAAAAACTCATCTAGCATTGTGCATTCATTCAATCCACCATAGAATCTGAGCCCACAGCTTTCATTCATGCTGCTTCGTACCCGTCAAACGAGGGCTTTTCTCCGCAGTCGAAGGCCTCCTGCAGCTCTTTCACCAGGTTGGCCTGTCCCGGGAGCCTGAAGAGCCCCTCCTCCTGAAGCCCCCGCTGTCGGATGAAGGCCACGCACTGCTCCACCAGCATCGGGGCCAGTTTGTTCCCAAATCGCCGCTCGTATCGCACCGTCTCCTCCAGCCTCTGACCAAAGATGCCTGGAACACACAGCATAAAGATTTTCTGCTATAAACGCTCAGATTCTCACTGGAAAGATTCACACACTGCAAAAGATGACAGAATTAAAGACAAAAAAATGCTAAAATTTGGCTAAATGTATCTAAATTTGAGCACATTTTGACTGTCTTAAAACAAGCTTTGCCAGTGGAACAAGAAACATTGTCTTGTTTTAAAGATACAAGATATTTTTCTCTTGGAATGAGAAAATAAAGCAATAGTTCTTGAATCAAGTCAAAATTGCTTGTCTCATTGGCAAATCTCATTTTAAGACAGTCAGAATGAACTCAAGTCAACTAAAAAAAAAACTCGATTCTAGCAATTATGATCTCATATTTGATCATTTTTTGCAGTGCACACATTATATACCATAGCAATGTATAATTTAAAAAATAAGTGATTATTTATGTCTGTTATTTGCCAATGCAGGAGGGTCTAAGGACATTTATGGACATTTATGGACATTTATGGACACTGGTCGTCCTGCTCCCTATGAACCAATGGCTCCTGTGTGTTTGTTATGACTGCATTTCCTGTGTTCGAATAATGTGCTAATGTGCCGTCACTGTCTCCATCTGGACAACGTGAAAACAATGCACTGCGCATGCGGCAGCTGCACAAGCCCCATTCATTGGACGAGTGCCTTCAAAATTCCACAGCGGCTAAACTAGACTGGTCCAAAACAATACACTCCCCTCAGCATCGACAGCAACTGGAACGTAGCTTTGGGCCAAGAGCCGACTTTTGGACCATCCTCGGTCGCCCCGACAGTAGCTCAGTTGGTACACACAAACAAACACACGTTACAGACATACACACACAAACACAGAATACAGACATGCACACAGCACAGAGCGTAGACACACAAACAAAAACAGACACAAAAACACACATGCACACACACAAACACAATAATACAGACACTCATCGCACATGGGAACAGATTTGTCTTGAACAGAGTGTGTGTCAGGAGTCCAGACAAGTAATGGAAAAATGAAAATGTATACAGAAAACACACACACACACACACACACACACGCACACACACACACACACACGCACACACACACTTATCAGAGCTGTTACTTGCCTTTTTTAAACCGGACACAACTCAACAGCTTCTGGAAAATACGTCTATTCATAAACTTGTGATAAGAGAGAATACAAAAAGGACTCCGGAAAATGGATCCGAATTCTGACATTTTAAAAAAGAGGCAAAAACTAAATCCAGTTACTTTTCCAGTCTCCGCAGTGTTGCATAAATCCGCAACATGTACAAAAACAAAGCAAAAATCTTGATGTTAGCTTAAACGACAGGAGGAGAGGGAAAAGCAGGTCATTCCTCCAGACGCACTGGTCATGAGTCTGGAGGGTTTTTTTCTCAGTCACATGAAGCAGCTCGAGCCTTGGAAAGGACTAAAAATAAAACTTTTCAATGTAGTTTCTAGTCCACAGAGAGTTAAATTAGCAATAAATCATCATTAAAGGGCCATAATCTGTCAAAAGGCGTTAATAAAACATGGTCTTTTCAAATACTTCTTTAAATGATAACTGTAGTTCAGAGATATTTAGATTTAAAAATGAGTTTCCCGGCCACTAAATCTTGTTATTGTTTTCATTTTGATGTCCCGCCCTCCATCGTTTTATCAATCAGAAAGTCTGTGATCCGGGCGCCAGAACTCACCGCATCGAGCTAATCTCACTGGTAAAGTACCATGTGGTGCAGAACTAAAAAAGGTCTCGTTATGATTCTCCATTTTTTAATGACAAAACAAGGAATATAACCAGGATTTCTATCTTTGTGAAAAAGGTGTTGGTTATAGATTTGTTGTTGACAAAACTTTTTATTCAGATAATATGGTCCCAGCTGGATTCGTCTGCATATCTGGCAACCTGAGTCAGGGAGAGTGCAGTACCACTTTTGGCCAGATTTTTACATATGGCTCCTTTAAAGTCTGATTAATCGTGCTAATGTATTTGAATGAATGAATGCCTTTATTAGTCACACAATAGGGAAATGTAATGGGAGATCTGTCATACAGTACATAATAATAATAATAATAATACTTACAAAAAAGATTTGGGACACTTTTGAGGTGAAATGACAAATAGGGAACCAAATTCAAGACTGAATATAAAGTGTACTTTTTTATGTAAGTGCCACAGTGGGGCGGCTGTGGCTGTAAAGAAGTGCAGTCTGGTGTGTGTGTGAATGGGTGGTGGTCAGAGAGGCTATTGGCACATACTAATTGCCTCGCTTCTGTCAGTGTGCCCCAGGGCAGCTGTGGTCAGAGGATGCAGGAGGGTCTAAAGACAGCGGTGAGGATCCAGGACTTTTAACAACATTCATGGACTAATGGCTCCATGTCTTTTTTCATTTCCTGGGTTTAACCCTTTGATTCTCTAAATGTGGAAAGTTCACACTTTAACCACCCAACTGCATCTCAACTATTTGGTAATGGCCTGTGTTGAGAAAATTAGGAAAATACAAACACATATAAACAAAAGATGTGTGTTATTAGTGCTCCTGATCTTAGAAAATCAGAAAATAGATAAAAAATAACATTGCTTTCTTCAAGGTGTGAGAATTAGAGGGTCAAACCAAAGTCCACACCATGAAAAAATCTTTCCAATGAAGAAGAAGCTGTTTATAATTACCATTGATAATCCAAAAGGAGAAGCCGCAACTGCACATTTTTCAAAGCAACCTGAAAAAAGTCTCCTGGTTTAGAAAACAAAAAATCTTCAAATCTACTAGGACGCCAAGACGAACTTTCTAATCGAATTGCTCTATCTAAAACTGGCCTACTCTCTCTCTGTGATTGTAAGAGAGAGACTACACCAAAGTCTCCTGGTCCAGTAAACAAAAATCTTTAAATCTACTCGGAAAGACGAACCTTCCTAAACTACTGAAAATTATCTATACATCTAAAACTTGTCAGAGAGAGACCATACCAAAGTCTCCTGGTACAGAAAAACAAAAAATAGAAAGTCTAGAAAAAACAAAAATCTACTAAGAAGACAAGAAGAACCTTCCTAAACTTCTGAAAAAAGTCGCTGTATCTAAAACGTGTCGGCTCTCTGCTGTGTGAACGGACTGGAGAGAATGTGTGCTCTGCTTCCCCTGCGGACGGGAAGCAGGCTATGCTAGCTCTGGCCGGAGCGTTGAGCCACCTCTCCTGTGGCATCTTTGACATTTGACTTGTCCCTTTGCTGCGCAGTCAACTGTAATGGACGTCGGACTCAGTGCCGTGAAAACAAAGGGGCCCAGCTGAGCCTCGTCCATTCACTGTCTGTCTATAGAAACATGTCCCCCTGCTTTTTGTTGACCCAAAAAAAAAAAAAGCAGGGGACATGTTTGAGCTGTGAACAAATGGCCCAGAGATGAACCAGCCGCAGCTTTGCAGAAGACATTCAAATCTGGAATCCATCCCAGAGAACGGATAAATACATGAAGTCCAAAGGGTTTTTCTGTTTTCCCACTGCCCAGGTCTCTGCACTGACTTCCTAAATTCATACAAAATTAAAAGCTCATCCCATTTATTGTCCAAAGGGAAACGTTTCTATCAGAAATACAGAACTGTGCCACCCAGGACTGTAAACTGGGACATGGGGGCAGTTTTACTCTTACACACCTGGGATTCTGCCCTAAAGAAGTCGGACAGCAGATGGCGCTGTTGTCCTGCCTGAAGTGATAGGAAGACTATACTTACTACTTACTCAATACACTGCAAAAAGTGATAAAGAACAAGTCAAAAATGTCTCAAACTTGTCCCGTTGGCAAATCTTGTTTTAAAACATTCAGAATATATTCAAATTAGGAGAAAAACACACGTAATTTAAGCAATTATTACCTTATATTTGATACATTTTTTGCAGTGTAATATGGACATAACGTGACCAATACGAGGAAGACCGTATGCTAGCAGTCCAGACAGCACTAAAACCACATTGGAATACACGTGCAAAAGTCCCCCAGTGTGCACCAGACAAGTACATAAATAAAACTACAAATACAAGAAACAATTTCAACTCTGGTCTTAAAAAAATAAAAATAAATTAAAGTAGTAAGAAGTAGTTATGTCATGAATACTGACCTCCCCCAAAAGGCGCCCAGATCACTCTCCGTATCGTCTTCACCCAATCCTCCATATCGTTCTGAGAGCTGGACATGAGCAGGTAGGTCTCATGGTTGGCCGTCATCCGCTCTCTCTCCCCTCCTGTCAAACAACAATATAGATTTATAAAAAATATACTAAAGGTTACATAATGTACTAAATAACAATAATAACAATAATAATAATGCATTGGTTTTATATAGCAATTTTTGTGTACATTTGAAAACGCTTCACATATGTCATTATTCATTCACTCCAAACACGGTGGTGATGAACTAATACAGTAGCCACAGCTGCCCTGGGGCACACTGACAGAGGCGAGGCAACCAGTCTGTGCCATCAGCCGCTCCCACCACCACCAACCATTCACACACACACACTAGACTCATTCTAGTGTTGGGGAAGTGTCTTGCCATTTATTTGAATTTATTTGCCATTTGCAGTAAAACCCCATTGGAAAAACTGTGCAAGACTACAGTGTGCACCAGACAGAGAAGACACCAGAGCTCTCTGCAGCCGCCCCACTGTGGCACCTGGTGTTTCCCAGTGGTCTCCCATCACGGCACTAACCAGGCCCTACCCTGCTTAGCTTGATAGTTTTGACAGCATCTGGCTTTCACATGCTGGTATGGCCCCGTTGAATTTTTTATAATTCATATTTTTTATGGACGGGGGCCCTTCTGTGCAGAGTTTGCATGTTCTCCCTGTGTCTGCTCACGTTTACTCTGGGCTACAACTACCACTAAAGTCATGTGCAATATGTTTAAAAAGTTTAGTCCAACATTTAGACTAAATGTTGTTGAATAATAAACAAACAGTCACAAGAACAAGTCTATAGTGGACTTGTAAAGATGAAAAGTGCCGGAGGCTGTTTCTGCTGCAGACTTCACACACAGCACCTCTGTATTTATCTGAACCACTTGGTCTCACACATTTGACCCGAGGGCTGTAAAGACGCCTCTCGCTCTAATTCTATCAAGTTTGAGGAATAGTAAACGCACACAGTTTCTGAGGAACACAGCTGGAAAAACACCATTTGTATAAAATAAAAAGTGGTGTCAACAACGGCTCCAATTTAGCAAAAAGTGTCTTAGTTTGAGCATGTTCTGACTGAGCCGTTAAACAACATTTCCCAATGAGACAAAGCAAAATGATCTTGTTTTAAAAATATTCAAAAAATGTCTTCCTTGGAATGAGAAAATAAAGCAACAGTTCTTGAAATAAGACTAAATGACTTTGTCTCATTGGAGAATCTGGTTTTAACACAGTCAGAATTAGGGGTGTGACGATATATCGCGATACTTTCTCCCGCGATTCGATTATCGATATGCATTTGCCAAGTATCAATATCGATTTTGAAAAAAAAAAAAATCAATACTTAATATATGGCTACATTATGCATCTCCATTGTATTTATCATAAAATAAAGAGTTTTTTTTTATTTTATTTGTGCCATAAATTGGCATATTGTATATTTCTGACCAATATATCAATAATCGTCATATCGTGATAAAATTGTTATCGTAATATCGTTATCGTGATATTATCGTTATCGTGAGCTTTGTATCGTGTATCGTATCGTATCGTGAGGTACCCTTAGGTTCCCACCCCTAGGCAGAATGTGTCAGATTCTGAGGCAGGATGGCAGCAGCGACAGGAGGAACTCCTCCTGAAGAAGAAGAGGAAGAGGAGGTGGTTCTTATGTGGCTCTGAAAGAGCTTCCAGCCAATAAGACCAAACTCACCCTAACACCAAACTACAGCCACAAACATAACCACAAGACTTCACTTCATGAGTTTGACTCATTGGAGCTTCATCATCATCATCCTTATCATCATCATCCTCATCATCTTCATCATCTTCATCATCTTCATCATCACAGATGAAAAGACTCTTTTCTTGAACATGATGATGTTTGAGTCCATCTTGTCTCCATCGTGGACTTCACCCAGAGCAGCCGGAGCTGTCGGGGAAGACACTTTCATCTCCTGTGATTGGATATGATTTTCTGTTTTTGTGCTGAATAGGAAAATGTGTTTTTATATATATATATTTATTTATATTTATATGTACGGAAGCTTGTTAGGTTCACTTGTGAGTGTTTTTTTTTTTTCGCTGGTATCATGTTATTTCATGATACTTTCATGAAATAACATGATAAATATCATGTTATTTCATGATACCAATTTATCATGTTATTTCATGATACCAGTTTATCATGAAATAACATGATACTGTAGATACAGAAGAAGAAGAAGCTGTCAGCTTCTTCTGATAAGTTGTGTATCATGAAATAACATGATACCAGCGGGAAAAAAACACACTCACAAGTGAACCTAACAAGCTTCCGTAAAACAGTGAATAATTGTATAAAATCACATTTGAGACTAAAGGCCGTGGCCTGAGCCCAAAGAGACACTTCAGGAGCAACACAATCAGTGGTTTGTGAGTTTGAGAGCAACATGTGAAGAATCATAGACTACACTGTACACTAGAAAGGCTCCTACACAAACTGCTGTTGTGAATAAAACACACACAAATACAATGAATTGAATAACACAAAACCGGGCCAATATCTCAGACTTTTTTTTGCAATGACGCGACTTCGGATCTGTCTGCGTGGATCTTAATGAGCACGTGCTGACTGCGGCTTTAATATGAGGCTAGCTAGCAGGTGCAGACCAGTTATTAGCTCAAAGTCTCAAACAGGTGGGAACAACAAAGGCGTCCTGTGTCGTGGGGCTCTCAGACTCCCCTCCTGCTAATGCTCTCAATGAACACAGGTTTAACCCATAAAACAATAATGGCCTGCCATATTTTAAAGCTGGGGTACCTAACTTTCAAAGCACAAACAGATTGAACTACGTAATCAAATGTATGTGACTAGTACTTGCTATATTGGTTCAATCGCTAGTTTTTTCACATGCATTATATTTTTACATCCGTCATATCTTTTACACGAGGCTCCCAACATTTGACTGCTCTCGTTCAAACCAATGGGAACCTGAGATATTCCCGCATAGAATGTTTAGTTTTTAATTTAGTGCTGAAACTGGTGATTATAGCTGAAATACAGACATAACTCAAAAGGCTAATGCTAACTTCTGACAGTAAACAGTGCGTTGCTATGGTGACTAGCACGTGATATTCTCTGGTGTAAATTTGGTTAAAGGTAGAAATACTCACATTTCAAAAGTTAACAATATTTTCACAAAAAATAATGACGTATAAATAGAAATAGAGAAAGTCACAAAGATATGAAGACCAAAATGCAAATGAGAAAAATGAGAACAAAAGCGAGGACCACTCCTGCTCAGCCAATCAGCTCAAAGCTCTCAGCCCAAAGCTTCCAATAGTGACTCCCAAGTTCTGGTGAATGTCTATTGTGTGTTTACGATTATATACAAGTGAAATAAGAAATGTTATGAAGATTTTTGTATTCATGCCATTTATTCCCACTTTTAAAACATGTTCGCACTTTGAGCCAAAGCAAATTCCTAGTTTGTAACTTCTGGTTACTTACAATGGCAAAAAGAAAATAATAATAATAATATATGAAAATAATTCTGATTCTGATTTTGATTCTATTTTTTTCAAATATACAGAAGATATGAGGATTTTTTTTTATCATGCTCTTTTTAGAATGTTTTATTATTATTATTATATATGTATTCACTTGATTAAAAAAAAAAAAATCAAGTGAATATGAACAATCATGATCCGCTGGCAGATAATTTAGCTTGAAACATTTCCTCTAATAATAGTCATAATAGAGCCCTTTCTGCAGTGTGAATAGTCATTAATAAATAACTTATTTCTGGGCAAAAGCAAAAACGTGTGCTGATGAAAGAACAGTTACATACCCCAGCTTTAAATGTCCATAAAACAGCGCACGGAGGCTGCAGATTGAGCGCTCTGACAACAGCCCAAATATTTAAGCAACAGATGTTTGCCCTGAAACCAACGGAGAAACCACATTGTTTAGCTCCGTGTCACCGCTCAGAGTTTTACAGCACGGAGACAAACTGCACTTGCATCTGCAGCGAGTGAAAGAAGAAGGCTTTGTCCCATGACAGTCAGAATCTCTGGTCTCTCTCTGGTCTCTTTTTGGTCTCTCTCTGGTCTTTCTCTGGTCTCTCTCTCTGGTCTCTTTCTGGTCTCTCTCTGGTCTCTCTCTGGTCTCTCTCTGGTCTCTCTCTGGTCTCTCTGGTCTCTCTCTGGTCTCTCTCTGGTCTCTCTCTGGTCTCTCTCTGGTCTCTCTCTGGCCTCTCTCTGGCCTCTCTCTGGCCTCTCTCTGGCCTCTCTCTTTGATCTCTCTCTGGTCTCTCTCAGGTCTCACTCTGGTCTCTCTCTGGTCTCTCTCTGGTCTCTCTCAGGTCTCTCTCTTTGATCTCTCTCTGGTCTCTCTCTGGCCTCTCTCTGGCCTCTCTCTGGTCTCTCTCTGGCCTCTCTCTTTAGTCTCTCTCCCTGGTCTCTCTCTCTGGTCTCTCTCTGGTCTCTCTCTGGTCTCTCTCTGGCCTCTCTCTGGTCTCTCTCTGGCCTCTCTCTTTAGTCTCTCTCCCTGGTCTCTCTCTCTCTGGTCTCTCTCTGGTCTCTTTTTGGTCTCTCTCTGGTCTTTCTCTGGTCTCTCTCTCTGGTCTCTTTTTGGTCTCTCTCTGGTCTCTCTCTCTGGTCTCTCTCTGGTCTCTTTTTGGTCTCTCTCTGGTCTCTCTCTGGTCTCTCTCTGGCCTCTCTCTTTGATCTCTCTCTGGTCTCTCTCAGGTCTCACTCTGGTCTCACTCTGGTCTCACTCTGGTCTCTCTCTGGTCTCTCTCTCTGGTCTCTCTCTGGTCTCTCTCAGGTCTCTCTCTTTGATCTCTCTCTGGTCTCTCTCAGGTCTCTCTCAGGTCTCTCTCTGGTCTCTCTCTGGTCTCTCTCTGGTCTCTCTCTGGTCTCTCTCTGGTCTCTCTCTGGTCTCTCTCTGGTCTCTCTCTGGCCTCTCTCTGGTCTCTCTCTGGCCTCTCTCTTTAGTCTCTCTCCCTGGTCTCTCTCTCTGGTCTCTCTCTTTGATCTCTCTCTAGTCTCTCCCTGGTCTCTCTCTTTGATCTCTCTCTGGTCTCTCCCTGGCCTCTCTCTCTAGTCTCTCTCCCTGGTCTCTCTCTCTGGTCTCTCTCAGGTCTCACTCTGGTCTCACTCTGGTCTCTCTCTCTGGTCTCTCTCTGGTCTCTCTCTTTGATCTCACTCTGGTCTCTCTCTGGTCTCTCTCAGGTCTCTCTCTGGTCTCTCTCTGGTCTCTCTCTTTAGTCTCTCTCCCTGGTCTCTCCCTGGTCTCTCTCTTTAGTCTCTCTCCCTGGTCTCTCTCTCTGGTCTCTCTCTTTGATCTCTCCCTGGTCTCTCTCTTTAGTCTCTCTCCCTGGTCTCTCTCTGGTCTTATGTTTCTTCTTGTATTAACCAGTAACTGTGTCTCTGTCTGTTTGCATCATTAACCTCTGCCATGATGGAACTACAGATGGAAACTATCGCCTTAATGGAAAAAAACTGGCATATTTACATTCAATCTATTTTTGTATTGCCCAAATTTGCAACAACAGTCGTCTTGGAGGACTTTACAAAGTTGTGGATTCCTCAACAACAAATCAGAGAATCAAACAAACACAGGAAATACAATAATAGAATATACATATGTTTTGCACTTGATATTTTATAATGCTAAAGTTAGAAATATAACTACATTTTAGCAAAGTTTTTCTTCTTTTATCTTGTTCTGTGTGCTCCTCGTTCCTACTGTTCTGTAACTTGTGATGCAACACTGAAAGATCTCTTAGTCTTAATCATAATCTTAATAAAAAAAAAAAACATTGGTCCATAGAGAGTGGAATGACAATAATGTCCATAAATGAAAGTAAAAGTCCTTAAATGTTTAGCATATGTGGAATGATGAGCACTGTCCCATTCAAATAAACTAAAACATTATACTTGAATAGATATAGCCACTTTTAATTAAATAATATATCATGCATAAAACAGACTTTTGAACATGTTTACATATTTTCTGTGTGCACATTTCGTGTTTTTTTCCCCAATCTGAATGATCCTATTTATGCCAAATTTCTCCATAGCGAGATCAAGAAAAAGTGTATCTTATCTCATCTCATAAATATGTTCTCATTCATAAAAACCAGAGGCAATCCGCTGAGTGTCTGTGACTCAGGCTCCCAATAATCCTTCAGCCAAACCACAGCTGCCACAACAAAAGTGATGGTAGTCTCTCTCCAGGAGGCGTTTATGGACTAGACGGATCCACATAAAGCTCTCAGCGAGTTCGTAACATTCAGAAGTCGTGTCTGTTACCTGCACGTGAAGGCAATAAATCAGAGAATCCATACTGCGGCAGCTTGTGATACACCATTTCCATTTCCCCTCCCTCTCCGGTCCACTCCAGACCCAGTGATAATCCAGCAGCAGCAGCAGCAGTAGCAGTGGTAGTAAAGCTTGCAGAGTCCTGGGTTTTACTATCAGGATGTCTCCCTCTGGTCTGGCTTTGCCCAAAGAGACACACAGAGAGAGAGAGAGAGCAGCTGAGAGCGGGTGTGAAAGAGAAAAGGGAGGTTTGCTTTGCAGAGGGGGGCAGGGAGAGAGCGTGCATACCTCTCCAGACCACTGTACTGAGGGACAATAGGCTGATCTCTGAAGTGAAGGGGATTGATTTGAAAAAAAAAAAAAAAAACAACAAAAAAGGCCACAGGCAAAAGATACCAGGGCATGACCTCAAAAAGTAAACGCAGGGTTTCTCATTGACACAGTGGTGCGAGTTTAGCCTCGTGAGAAAACAGTGCAAAGATAGGGGTGTAATGAGTTTCTGAAGTTTCACAGATTAAATATTATAGAGGTAAATTCTTCTGACAATTTAAGAGAGATAGATAGTGTGGAGAATTGAAGACAAAGGCAGCAGCGGTCGCACCTGGAACCTGGTTTATTTTTGAGGCAAAGGCTGTGTTTTTCCACTTAAATGTTTTGTTATCTGAAGGCAAAGCTACTGGTCCCGTGGAAAATGCTGATTGGACGGTCTATACTGTCAAAGTCAAATACATCAGAGGCCAAAACAGAGGCCGAGAGCCGGACTGGTTCTATGTTTATTAAAACGTATTAAAATGATTATAAAATTGCATTAACCAACCTCGACTACCTCTGGGTTGACAGACAGATTTCTCCGTATTTCATTAAAACGCAACTTACCAGTTACTGAAAACGCAACTTTTCAGATGTGAGCCCTTTGCTAACGTGTTTTCCCAGAGCGTTAGTGGTTTGGGTGCATCATCAAGAGACGTGACTTCCTGTATCCGGTGAGCGTGTTTCTTGACTGCTATCACTCTGCTCTCTGTTTGCACTAACAAACACATTACAAATCCACGTATTGTACACCAAGCTAACTGTGTAAGCACTCCGAGTCAGCTGTACTGCAGCTGAGGTTTAGGTAGCGGTTGTTTGTCTGGTCTCGGAGTCTGTTGTGCGGGCCCGGATCCGTACTAGCTTAGCCTAGCCTAGCTTAGCCTAGCCTAGCCGCTAACTCGCTACTATGGCGGCTGCTGTCTCTCCCTCAATCCTTTACTGCTCGAGTTGCCATATGGCGAGTCTAAACCCTGGATCCTTCTCTGAGGGTAGTGATAGATGTGTGAAGTGTAGTGTAGTCGTAGCTCTGGAATCCAGGGTCAGTGAGTTAGAGCTGCGTCTCCGAGCACTGGAGTCTCGAGCTAGCGCTAGCATTAGCTACAGCCAGGCCGTATCCTCAGGGACAGCGGAGCGCAGCTTTAGGGAAAGGCAGAGGAGAACTAGCGAGCCTAGCCTCCCAGCCCGTCCTCCGCAGCTGGGACAAGACCAGGATAGTGATGGCTTTGTGACTGTTCGGAGAGGGCGACGTGTTGTTGGTAGTTTCCCCATTGGGCCTCCTCCTGTTAGCATTTACAATCGCTGGGACGCTCTGTCCGGCTGCGCCCCCGCGCGGCCGGGCGGGGAAGAAGGCCCCACTGAGAGAGCCGCTGAGAGAGCTGCTGAGAGAGCCGATGGAGTCGCTGATGCGCTGGTAATTGGCTCCTCTATTGTTAGAGGTGTTAAGATCCCAGGAGCCACTGTTCGGTGCTTCCCTGGGGCCAGGCTTGGTGATATTGAAGGGAATCTGAGGCTCATGATGACCCACAAGCAGCGTTTCCGTCGAATTGTTATTCACGCGGGTGGTAATGACGTTCGGCGGAAACAGTCCGAGGTGTTGAAGCTGCAAGTCGCCGCCGTGTGCAAGCTGGCTAGCACAATGGCCGACACTGTCATCTTCTCTGGGCCCCTACCTAGCACTAGCAGTGCAGAAGCATTCAGCAGACACTCGGCTTTCAACCGCTGGCTGTCTGGCTGGTGCCCTCGAAGTGGTGTTGTTCATGTTGACAATTGGAGTGCCTTTTGGGGAAAGCCCGGTCTCATCCGCTCGGATGATATCCACCCAACGTTGGCGGGTACATCCCTTTTGGCTAAGAATTTGGCCCTGGCTCTAAACTGTTCTGCTCGGCTCAAATGACGGTGCAGAACTGAGGCCCGGGTGCAGAGCTGCTCTGCCACAACCTCTGAGCCCCCATCTGTTCAGTTACTAGCCTCAGAGGCTAGTCAGATTGAAACTGTGTGTGCATGTGTGTGTGTGCCTGTGTGTGCTCAGTTACTAGCCTCAGAACCTAGTCAGATTGAAACTGTGTGTGTTCCCCGCTTGAAGTCTAAAGCACTATATGCGAGGAAATCTGACCTAGGTGTCAGACACAGTAACTTAATAAAAGTTCAGACAGACAGAAATAGTTCTAGCGGTAGGGTTGTTAAATGTGGTTTAATGAACGTCAGATCAATCTCGTCTAAATCGCTTCTCATAAACGAACTTATTATAGACAAGGGCTTGGATCTGTTTGCGCTCTCGGAGACTTGGCTCCAACAGGACGAGTACGTTAGATTGAATGAGTGCACTCCTCCGACGCATGTTAACTACCAGAAAGCCAGAGCTACAGGTCGCGGCGGTGGTGTTGCGATTATATCACACACCAACTTGGTTCTTAGTCCCAAAACCAACAACGCTTTTCACTCGTTTGAAAACTTAACACTTTCAATCACCTGTCCTGGGTGGAGAAAACAAAAAGCAGTACTATTTATAGTTTTATACCGACCTCCTGGTCCTTACAGCGAGTTCCTAACAGAATTCTCTGACTTCATTTCAAACCTAGTTTTGGAATGGGAAAACATAGTTATAGCTGGAGACTTCAATATACATGTGGACGACAGCACTGACAGCTTAAACAAAGCTTTCAGCGCCGTACTAGATGGTGTTGGTTTTACTCAGAATGTCGAGGAACCTACTCACATTCATAACCACACCTTGGACCTTGTCCTGACCTACGGCTGTGATGTCTCCAATGTTGACATCCAGCGTCAAAGCTCGTTGCTGTCTGACCATTTCTTGATCACGTTTGATCTCGCTTTGGAGGACTTTCCTGTCCCGCAAGATAAAACCATAATGAAAAGAACCTTAAATGATAAATCTATCACAAGGTTCAAAGAACTAATACAGCCTATGTTGAATACTGCTGCAGGTGAACCTGTTCACAGCAGCTGCAGTCCCTCAGTCATTGACCAAACGGTGGGCAACACTATGGAGTCTTTAAAATCTGCATTAAATGCAGCAGCTCCTTTAAAACAGAAAACCATTAGGATTAGATCATCGTCGCCCTGGTACAGTGTTCAACTCCACACTTTAAAACAGGACGTCAGAAAATTGGAGAGGCTATATCGCCACTCCCACTCGGAGCCTGTCCACAGGGAGTGGAAAGCAGGTCTCCGAAACTACAAGAAGGCCCTTCGCGGGGCTCGAACTCAATACTATTCAACTTTAATAGAAGCGAATAAAAACAACAGTAGATTTTTGTTTGGTACCGTCGCTAAACTCACAAACTGCCATAGCGCAATCGAGCCTAAAATTCCAAGCTCACTGAGCAGTGTCGACTTTCTCCACTTCTTTAATAATAAAATTACATCCATCCGTGACAAACTGGAGGAGGTTGCTCCTGCTGTTAGTGGTGGACAGGTTGAAGCGGCATACGTGACTTCCCACTTAGACTCTTCAGTGGGCCTTAATAAATTCATGGCTGTGAGCCAAGCAGAGGTGATCTCTGTGGTCACATCCTCAAAAGCCTCAACTTGCATGTTAGACGCAGTCCCGACATGGCTCTTCAAAGACATACTTCCTTTGATAATTGAGCCTATCGTAAATATAATAAACGCATCCATACAATGTGGCTATGTCCCACAAGCTTTTAAAACCGCGGTAATCAAACCCCTTCTGAAGAAAACAAACCTGGACCCAGAAATACTTACAAACTACAGACCGATCTCAAACCTCACTTTTATATCTAAAATCCTGGAAAAACTTATAGCTGAGCAGCTCCGCTGCCACCTGCAGGAAAATGATATGTTTGAAGTCTTTCAATCAGGATTCAGAGCTCATCATAGCACTGAAACGGCACTAGTCAAAGTCACAAATGACTTACTACTAGCTGCCGATAATGGACAAGTGTCAGTGCTGGTCCTACTGGACCTTAGTGCTGCATTTGACACAATAGACCACAGCATTCTACTGCAGAGGCTAGAATGTGATATAGGTCTTAGAGGAACAGCCCTTGGCTGGTTTAAATCCTATTTATCAGATCGATATCACTTCGTCAATGTGAATCAGGACTCGTCGCCTTATTCTGGAGTGGAATTCGGTGTGCCGCAGGGTTCGGTACTCGGACCGATTCTTTTTACTCTCTACATGCTGCCACTGGGAAACATTATTAAAAAGCATGGAATTAATTTCCACTGCTATGCAGATGACACACAGCTTTATCTGTCGATGAAGCCTAATCAGACAGATCAGCTAGAAAAGCTCAGTGCCTGCATAAAGGACCTTAAAATGTGGATGACTCTTAACTTCCTACTTCTCAACCCGGAGAAGACAGAAGTGATCCTACTCGGTCCGAAGCGCCTGCGTGACTCCCTCACTAACCAGATGGTTACTCTTGATAATGTCAGTATAATACCCAGTAACACTGTGAGGAATCTTGGAGTCATTTTTGACCAAGAACTCTCCTTCAAGGCTTATATAAGCCAAGCAACTAAAACGGCGTACTTCCACTTACGGAACATCGCTAAAAATTAGGAATTTCCTTCCTAAAAGTGACGCGGAAAAACTCATTCACGCGTTTGTCACCTCAAGGCTCGACTACTGTAACGCTTTACTGGCAGCGTGCCCTAAAGCCTCTTTGAAGAGCTTCCAGCTCGTTCAGAATACAGCAGCTAGGATCTTAACAGGTACCAAAAGGAGGGAGCACATAGGTGTTAAAATCTTCCAACTCC